CTCTCTCTCTCTCTCTCTCTCTCTCTCTCTCTCTCTCTCTCTCTCTCATCTCTGTGTAGTGGAGTTTGAAGCTTGGATTTGCATATGTTTTAAGAAATGACAGATCGTATGGAAAAACTTGCACTTATTCCATTCTCATTGAGCTGTAATTCTGACTTAAGTGTTGCAGTTGGCACCACCCAATTACCTGAGAAGAAATATGCAGACCAAACTACAGACACAAGTTTGGTCGTACCAGGTATGCTCTCTCTCTCTCTCTCCCCTCTATACACAAAATTATCTTATTAATATTAGAGCGCAAGTGTAGTTATCGTGAATGATTTTTTTTTTTTTCCTCACATTGGCTGTTTGAATTGTGGGCACCATTTTTAAGGACAAAAGGAGGGAGAGGGAAAGCCTTCGACAGAGAAATCAATGAAGAAAAGCAGGGGATTCTTGGCTCTTCCAAAACCACTTCTTTCGAAGGGCATGCATAGATTGATGAAGCATCTAAAAAGTTTTTCTCAGATGTTTGGTAAGTACATGAATTAACTGAAAGAATTTACATCTGTTATATACTCAAACTTTTTCTCCTTCTTCTTCTTCTTTTGTTTATGGGAAGAGATAGTATAAAATGCTACTGAAAATAGTTATAGATTAACATGAAAATGTAGAAAAGCGCCAACATAATTTTCTGTCTTCAAAATAATAATATAATGAATTTAGCTAAATAGGAAGAAGTTAGAAGTATAGTTTTATACTAAATAAGTTAGGGAATTCGTATTTGGTAAATTTAGTATTATTATGGAAAAAATCATATTCATTCTATGATAATTATTATGGTTTGTTTGTCTCATGGGAATGAAAATAACAAGGTGTTTCTTCCATAAAGAACAAGTGGTCGTATTGGGTTGGACGAGCAACCAGATTTAACATTTTCAACTTTTTTAGAAAATAAAAAAAATTAAAATGTTCATTTGGGTTCGTTCATATCACTTTTGGGAAGTTGGGACAGCCACACCTAATTTAAATGCTAATCCCAAATATGGAGATTGATCAATCAATTGATCCTTAGGATTCACGTTTCTACAAATTCTCTCCATGCATTATATATGGGATTTCTTGATATTATTGTTTCATGGCTAAATTACATATCCCACCAAGCAAGCATAATATATTACTCCCTTCCTAAGCAGATTTCAGATTCTCATACCACCCTAAACATGATATCTACGCGATGTCCTAAACATTTTACGATGTAGGAGTGTCAAAATGAGTAGAGTAATTAGGACCGATCCATCGACATCTGGACTCGTGTAAAATAGGTCGAAACAGTCTTCAAAATCAAAGAAACGCCTAGCATGTAACCAACAATACCGTGGGCAAAGTCGGTCCAACTTTCTGTGTTTTGATATTATTATTATTATTATTTTAGATTTTAATACAATTTAGAGCTAAGTCATGATTGAAAAAAAATTGTAAATCCTCATTAACATGTTTGCAAATTACAACATTAATAGTTGTTTCATTACATTTAGAATATTTACTAGTAACTAGGTTGACACTTAACCAAACTTCAAAAAGTAATGTAGATAACACTTGAAATTTTATTATACTCGAATGTAAAAATAGTATAGTATGACAAATTGAGTAAGTTGATTTGTTGGCTCGAATCTTGCTACATGTACATTATAATATATACTTTGTCACGTGGCATTATTTTATTGGGCAGTTTAAATTTCAAACAGTTTTTCCATCAAATTGACAGTTGACAACAATACGAGTGTGAACCAAAGTGTCAAAAATCAGTGTACAAATAGCAAAGTTTTTGTGGGCTCAAACTAATTGCTTAATTTAGATAATTAATTATCACAAGTAGGTTGAGTTGTACAGTTAAAATGACTAATTACTCCAACCATTCAATCATCGAAATACAAACAAGACTCAAAAACTTCCACCATACGACACCCCACGCCCATTTCTCACTTTTCCCACCAAACTTTGAGTATTTTTAGTAGAATTTCTAGAAATAAAATCATTCTATCTTATATGTGAAGTCAAAAGTCTAATATAAGAGTAGAAGTACAGATGTCTGTACTTCGACAATTCTTTCTCTCTCTCTCAGTCTCTCCTAATTTTTAAATCTCTCTCTCTCTCTCTCTCTCTCTCTCTCTCTCACATCTCTGTGTAGTGGAGTTTGCAGCTTGGATTTGCATATGTTTTAAGAAATGACGGATCGTATGGAAAAACTTGCACTTATTCCATTCTCATTGAGCTGTAATTCTGACTTAAGTGTTGCAGTTGGCACCACCCAATTACCTGAGAAGAAATATGCAGAACAAACTACAGACACAAGTTTGGTCGTAACAGGTATGCTCTTTCTCTCTATCTCTCTCTCTATACACATAATTATCTTATTAATATTAGAGCGAAAGTGTGGTTATCGTGAATGACTTTTTTTTTTTTTTCCCCTCACATTGGCTGTTTGAATTGTGGGCACCATTTTTAAGGACAAAAGGAGGGAGAGGGAAAGCCTTCGAGAGAGAAATCAATGAAGAAAAGCAGGGGATTCTTGGCTCTTCCAAAACCACTTCTTTCGAAGGGCATACATAGATTGGTGAAGCATCTAAAAAGTTTTTCTCAGATGTTTGGTAAGTACATGAATTAACTGAAAGAATTTACATCTGTTATATACTCAAACTTTTTCTCCTTCTTCTTCTTCTTTTGTTTATGGGAAGAGATAGTATAAAATGCTATTGATAATAGTTATAGATTAACATGAAAATGCAGAAAAGCGCCAATATAATTTTCTGTCTTCAAAATAATAATATAATGAATTTAGCTAAATAGGAAGAAGTTCGAAGTATAGTTTTATACTAAATAAGTTAGGGAATTTGTATTTGGTAAATTTAGTATTATTATGGAAAAAATCATATTCATTCTTTGATAATTATTATGGTTTGTTTGTCTCATGGGAATGAAAATAACAAGGTGTTTCTTCCATAAAGAACAAGTGGTCGTATTGGGTTGGACGAGCAACCAGATTTAACATTTTCAACTTTTTTAGAAAATAAAAAAAAAAATTAAAATGTTCATTTGGGTTCGTTCATATCACTTTTGGGAAGTTGGAACAGCCACACATAATTTAAATGCTAATCCCAAATGTGGAGATTGATCAATCAATTGACCCTTAGGATTTAAGTTTCTACAAATTCTCCCCATGCATTAGATATGGGATTTCTTGATATTATTGTTTCATGGCTAAATTACATATCCCACCAAGCAAGCATAATATATTACTCCCTTTTCCTAAGCAGATTTCAGATTCTCGTCCGACCCTAAACATGATATCTACGCGATGTCCTAAACATTTTATGATGTAGGAGTGTCAAAATGAGTAGAGTAATTAGGACCGATCCATCGACATCTGGACTCGTGTAAAATAGGTCGAAACAGTCTTCAAAATCTAAGAAACACCCAGCATGTAACCCACCAATACCGCGGGCAAAGTCGGTCCAACTTTCTGTGTTTTGATATTATTATTATTATTATTATTATTATTATTATTATTATTATTTTAGATTTTAATACAATTTTGAGCTAAGTCATGATTGAAAAAAAATTGTAAATCCTCATCAACATGTTTGCAAATTACAACATTAATAGTTGTTTCATTACATTTAGAATATTTACTAGTAACAAGGTTGACACTTCACCAAACTTCAAAAAGTAATGTAGATAACACTTGAAATTTTATTATACTCGAATGTAAAAATAGTATAGTATGACAAATTGAGTGTGTGAGAAATTAAAGCGTATGAGAAGTAGGACGAGAATTACACATGGGAGATTGTGCGGAAAATTTAGAAAAGAAAAGAGGGGGATAGAAATTAGAACGAAAAAGTGGTGTCTCGTTTTATATATATATATATATATTTTTTTTTCCAATTTGAAAGTAAGACGAATGGATATTTTTAATTTTACTCATGACTTTCAATTTTCATTTCAACGGGCCAATTGAACTAGTCCTTATGGATCTTTGCACAGACTATAACACTACTCGTCCATTGTGATGGACCAACTCATCAACAAACTAGGACCTAGTCGAGATAGCTAGTTTCACTCTAAGGCCCTGTTTAGTTTTGATATTTCGAGCCAAAAAATCATTTTTTTGATCATTGCTTAACATGATCAGCCGTCATTTTTTACTTCTTCACTTACAGGAGGGATTCACTTTTCTCTCTAATAATAAAAAAAATAATTTTAAAAATCAATACCAAATAGGCCCTAGAGGATAAGTCATTCTAGACCTAGGCATACCACTAATTTTTTAACATGTATTATATAAAATCACTACATGAATTGAAATTTTTTGAGAGTCATCATTAATGCTTGTACAGGAACACTAGATACTACTCACTAAACACACTCTTAGTATACATAGAAGGGAGTGAAAATTGAGTACATTTCTCAAAGATAAAAACGAGTGTTGATGTAAAAGAGATTCCTATTAGGTGTTTGCAAAGTAGTGTTTCCAGGTGCTTCATTGAAGAATGTGATTTACATGTAAACAATACTGGAAAATACAAAAGTGAAAAGAAGTTGAAAATCTGTTCTGCTATTTTATATAGTTGTCCACTACATACCAAATTTATTGTCAAAATATGTTTTGTACATAGTAAGAACGAGCTCTACAATAGACAAAGTTTAAGCGATAACCCTTTTCCATTGATTTAATTTTCACTTAATTCTCTCTCTCTCTCTCTCAGTTTACAAGGAAGAAATGGAAGAAAAGGAAAAGGAACTGGAAATAGGGTTTCCGACAGATGTAGAGCATGTAAGCCATATAGGATTGGATGGATCAACGACAATCAATCCAATTCCAGAATGGAAAAATCGAAAAGCTCCTGAAATTCTTTCATTTCCTTCAATTTCTTTAGAACAATTTGAACGTGCAATGGCTGCCCAATCTCATGGCCATTTAAATATTACCACTGATACAAAATTTACCTTAAATAACAATTTGAACTTACAATTCTAGACATTTAGTGTGAATTTCCAATGAATGAGAGTTTCTTCCAGTTAATTTCGTTACTTGAGTTCTTTGTTGTTAGGATGGAAAAGAAAATATTTAATTTGTTACAACAAAGGAATTTGTGATGAATTGCTATTGCAAAGATTAATGGCCGAAGAAATATTGATTTGCTGTCTTAATTCTTTTTCTCTCTTTTTTTTTATTTGTATATATACTGCAATTCTATTTTATATCTTTTATTGCTTTTTTATTTTACGCTATGAAAGCTTGTTGGATAATCAAGTCCGAGCTTTCCCTTTCATAACTTGTTTGCGCATTTACGCAATAATGGACATTGCATAATTGACTCGGAGCTTTTACTTTAATAACTGGTAGTCGACTCAATAGAAAACCCTAGGCCAACTATGACAACAACAACAAAAAGAAAAAACAAGGATTAGCAATGGGGTACACTTCAAAAAATGACTGATTTTGAGACAAAAAATGTTGTCACAAAAATTGAGATTTTGTTGCAAAAGTAATTTAGCGATAACAATAGACGGGGTGGAAGTAGACATTTTGAGTTAGCGGGACACAATTAAACATGCAAAAAGTTTGTAATATATTTTTCATTCAAAAATTTACACCCAAAAAAAAAAAAAAGGTTTTCATCCATGTAATTTTACATCCAACAATTCACATAGGTGTGACTTTTTTCGATGTAAAATTTTGAAATTTTTTCATGTCATATCCCATGTAAAATTTTCTAATAAAATGATATAAATTATATTACAAATTTGTATCGTAAAAATAATAATAATCGATAATTTTTAAAGAAAATACAAATTATGTACCTCTTTTAAAGCAATATGTTTGATGCATCTTTAACTATTTTCGGTATCTGTTTGGACAATTCAATATTCCTATAACGTAGTTCTCGAAGTGAGCTTCGAGATGATAAAGGCGATTTATAGATTCGACTAGTGTATGACCGTTAGAGAATTTTTAAAATTAGCATGTTATCGAAACTTTTGAAATACTAATTTGGAATGACCTACTTTGACAAGCCATGATATTTGCTACGGTTGGCCTTTTTTGCGCCATTATTAACGTAGAAAACTAGGCTATGAGTACTTTGAAATGATATTAAGAATGTAATATTTTAACTTCATTAGACATCTCAAATTGACTTCGAAAATTGAGACAAAAACATAGGAGAAAAAACAAAAACAAAAATTGGCCAAAAAGTGACCCCCATGCCCACCCTTGTGTCCGCCATGACAATATGTTTGTTGCAGGTATTGCCGTGTTATATGAGCCACGAAATGTGCTTTGCGACGACTTTTGATTATTCATCGCATTAACAAAATCGCGACACTCTTTGTTTGACGCAGAAAATACAAAATAGCAACATAATATTTGTAACTATAATGTCTTCGCAATGTATATATGTTGTAAAAAATTAAAAGGACGACAAGTCAGTTTGTCGCAATGAATATTCCAATAAAGGTTTTATGAGAAATAGGTTTGTTGCGAATGTTGAGTCACGGAATATATTTTTCGACAACTTATGGTCATTCATCGCATTAACAAAATTGCAACACAATTTTCTTGTAGTGGGTATACCAAACCAAGATCTAGTTATGGGATCATGGGACTTCTCTAATGCATTCTGTGAATCGTTGTTTAGGTCACAGGTAAATTGAAAGACTTGTTATCTACAATGCATTAGTGTTTATTAAATATAAAATATTACTCAAAATTGATTTTCAATTATTTCTATCCACAATTTAACACTATTGGCAAAAATCTTTTAATTTTAAAAATAAAACAGAAGCACAAACAATGATGCACAGGAAATGTAAATATTGCTAAGTATCCCCCATTAACAAATCTTCAGTGAATCTAGACCGAGTTCTGCACAATTTCTATTTTTCTCCCTCTCATAAGCTTGATAGAGTTCATGTTAGATTGCATTGGAAAGAAAAAAATTAAACGTAGTTTATTCATTTATGTGCCGATTTTATTTAATAATCCACCAAAGCATGAGAGATGATCTAAGGAAATCCTCTATTCGCTACTACCCTAAATCCTAAACTCGAATACTATCATAAAACAAAGAAATGGACGAAGAGAGTCAAGTCGGTCCTTTCTAATCATTGTCCTTTTCAACAACGATTGTTTATTTGTTTATCAATATGGCAATTCAATTGTTCCAATTGTTCTACACCTATGTTTCATTTCTTAAAACAAAAGTGTTACACTTTTTGTATCATTACGCATTACACTTGTAAACTGTGCTATCATTCGTCGTTGACACCACCATCAATGACATGTTACTTGTGACAAACTATATTATGCCGCTACCATCACAACCACATCTATATATACGTGTAACACTTGTAACAAACTGTGTTACACTATTGCCACCACTATCATCGTTGATGACATATCACCGTGAAAAACTATATTACATCGCTACCATCACAATCACCACACCATATGTATGTGTAACACTTGTAACAAATCGTGTTACACTGTCCCTACCACCACTACTACCATCGAGGACATGTCACTTGTGACAAACTATATCACGCCGCACCACCACAACAACCTCTATATATACGTATAATTCTTGTAATAGACCATGTTATGCCGCCACTGCCACTGCCACTGCCACTATCACCACCGTTGACAACATGTTATGACGTACGGCAAGAACATCTATCAACACCAAGATCAACTCCACCATAATTTGCACCATCCACCACCATATGTGCAACTATCACCACCACCATCATCTCCACCTCCACTAGACCACCCCCGCTTGCCTCCACCATACGTAACAACATGTAAGACCCTAGTCATCGTACCGATCACCACCATGCACTAAATTGAATCTCCCCACCACCATTGTAACTAGATCTTCACGTTGTCACAATGCCCTGTCACTAAAACTTGGCCTTTCCCATCGCTACACAATCTTTTCCATCACTGCATGATCTTTTCCATTGCCATTGCACTACCATCAACACCATTGCACCACCATCACTATCATCTAGTCAAATCCCACACCTACCATAAAACTAATTTCATTAATTAAAAAGAAGAAAATTATAAGCAATGACACTTTTACTGACGAAAACTTATGAAAATTTTCTCAACGATTCATTCTCGATGAAACAACCTAAAAATGACCTTTTATGATAAAAATTTGCATTGCTAACCTAGAAAATTTTTGTAGTGTCACGGTGCTAATGGAGGTGGTCGATCATGGCAACTATAGAGGTGGTAGGGGTGGTGATATTGATTTGGGGTGGTGATATTGATTTTAGTGTTTGTGATTGAATTTTGATTAGGGATAGTAATAGAAAAATAATAATATTATTTTAGTTCATAATGATACCATGAGCGTTTTAAGACCTCCTCAGGATATGTTTTTCGATATAGTTATACATTTACAATATATTTTTGGTCAATGGATACAAAACACCCGTGCTTTAGCATCTGGTGCAACGGCTCTTGAATAAAATTTGGATGATTTTATCCACACCATAATTTTTGTTACCTACATTACATTTTTATTGCAAAGAAGATTTCCAATTTTTTCTCATTTTACCACTTTAAAAAATTCCAACTTTTTTTGTTGTATTTTTATTCTTAACCTCCAATTAATTAACACATTTCGCATTTGGCAATGATCTGTGTTTAGATATTATGTTAGTGTGATTTAAAATATGGGTCAAATATTTTGTCAAACTTTGATATTTATAATATGGCAATTCAATTGTTCCAATTGTTCTACACCTATGTTTCATTTCTTAAAACAAAAGTGTTACACTTTTTGTATCATTACGCATTACACCTGTAAACTGTGCTATCATTCGTCGTCGACACCACCATCAATGACATGTTACTTGTGACAAACTATATTATGCCGCTACCATCACAACCACATCTATATATACGTGTAACACTTGTAACAAACTGTGTTACACTGTTGCCACCACTATCATGTTGATGACATATCACCGTGAAAAACTATATTACATCGCTACCATCACAATCACCACACCATATGTATGTGTAACACTTGTAACAAATCGTGTTACACTGTCCCCACCACCACCACTACCGTCGAGGACATGTCACTTGTGACAAACTATATCACGTCGCACCACCACAACAACCTCTACATATACGTATAATTCTTGTAATAGACCATGTTATGCCGCCACTGCCACCGCCACTATCACCACCGTTGACAACATGTTATGACGTACGGCAAGAACATCTATCAACACCAAGATCAACTCCACAATAATTTGCACCATCCACCACCATATGTGCAACTATCACCACCACCATCATCTCCACCTCCACCAGACCACCCCCGCTTGCCTCCACCATATGTAACAACATGTAAGACCCTAGTCATCGTACCAATCACCACCATGCACTAAATTGAATCTCCACACCACCATTGTAACTAGATCTTCACGTTGTCACAATGCCCTGTCACTAAAACTTAGCCTTTCCCATCGCTACACAATCTTTTCCATCACTGCATGATCTTTTCCATTGCCATTGCACTACCATCAACACCATTGCACCACCATCACTATCATCTAGTCAAATCCCACACCTACCATAAAACTAATTTCATTAATTAAAAAGAAAAAAATTATAAGCAATGACACTTTTACTGACGAAAACTTGTGAAAATTTTCTCGACGATTCATTCTCGATGAAACAACCTAAAAATGACCTTTTATGATAAAAATTTGCATTGCTAACCTAGAAAATTTTTGTAGTGTCACGGTGCTAATGGAGGTGGTCGATGATGGCAACTATAGAGGTGGTAGGGGGGGTGGTGATATTGATTTGGGGTGGTGATATTGATTTTAGTGTTTGTGATTGAATTTTGATTAGGGATAGTAATAGAAAAATAATATTGTTATTTTAGTTCATAATGATACCATGAGTGTTTTAAGACCTCCTTAGGATATGTTTTTCGATATAGTTATACATTTACAATATATTTTTGGTCAATGGATACAAAACACCAGTGCTTTAGCATCTGGTGCAATGGCTCTTGAATAAAATTTGGGTGATTTTATCCACACCATAATTTTTGTTACCTACATTACATTTTTATTGCAAAGAAGATTTCCAATTTTTTTCTCAT